ACTCTATTCTTAATTTAAAATAAAAACTATTAAAATATTAAATCATTACTCTAGTAATAATTCCAATTATCCGTTGCATTAGTTTTATCCAAATTCGTTTGAATAACATCTAGATTCTAAAATTTGTTGACAAAAGGACATATTATCTAAACGTGCATTTCAAATGAAAGATTTGTCTCTAAAACATTTTGGATCAACTTAAAATGTACATTGATTTCTCACAAATTAATCATTTGTTGTGTAAGATTCAGGGTGTCAGGCCGTCGTTAAAAGTTCAAGATCACTGGACCCAAAGGTCCAACCTCAACTTTATTGTGACTTATCTAAAGGTGTGTTACCAAATGGATGAAATTCCTACTTGATCCATCATAGATGAAAGTGAAAGGATAAGATTTATAGATAATAAAGAGACCTAATTATGCTCATTTTCTAATGTGAAATAGATCGGCTCGCAACTCAAAAATGTCAGATACACTATCTATAGAAAATGTCAAAGACACGCTAATAGTTCATACACCATGCATTCACATTGCCAAACTTTTTTCCAACGAATTTTTGATCAAGTGTTAAGAAATACAAAGAGCCAACCAGAGTGAGTTAAATCCCAACTGTCTGGAACAACAAGTAGCCTTGATTACTACAAAGATTATGGCAATCATATCACTGTAGGGTAAGTCCAAAAATAGAGGTACGTGGAAAAAACATACCACTTTAGTTTCTACCAAACTTTATTGACAAATTTTATAACTACCAAATTTAGAAGTACGTACACCGATAATTGCGAACCCTTATAAATGGACGGCATGGAAAGGAAAATCACGGCAACTTCCAGCTTCCAAACTCCCAATTTGCATACTTATATATTAGGTGTCCTCTTCACAGAGCACACGTTGAATAATTTAGTAGATTAATCATTGGATAACCTTAAAAGAATTGAACTACTATTAATTAAAGCTATATGGTCATTTAGTTTCCAAAAATAATTTATTACATACCAAAATATTATTTAATTTGTCTAAAATCCTAGATTACGTTCCGGATCAGTTGTGGCAGTACAAGACCAGTAAATGAAATGAGCAGAGTTGTTGATATGGTGGAGTCAAAATGCTGAACTAAATTAGATTGGATGAAAATATGTTTAAATTATAAAAACATTATCCAATTCAAGATTCGATCAGAAACTGTAAAATAAAACGGTGCTGAACAACCATATCGAATAATAACAAACATATTAAAAGAAGGTTGGTCTTCATAATTTACATGAACCCTAAGATCTTTAAACATGTAGTTAATCACATAATAGAATCTATGAGAAAAATTATCGAATTACCTCCGTTCATTGTAGTGGAGAGATCTTCCTGAATGATATCTACGTAGGAGTTAAGTTTCTCTCCCCTTGCCTATAAACTTATCTTTAGATGTTGTGTATTAGATGCCTTTATGATGGGTTAAAGGCACATATTTATAAGTGAAGAGAGGACCTAATTCCTTTTTAGGGTTTTCTTAGGATTAATCTCAATCGTCCATCAAAGTAGAAATTTATTAGGAATTAACTCCATTATTTCTATTTAATTGGACATCAAATATATTATGGAATAACATTATTCCAATAGAAAACGGATCACTAAAAACCACATAATAAAAAAAGGAAATATTCCTTACAGATATAATAATTATTAAAATTTCTCTGTTTTTTACATCTTGAATAAGTTAACTCATATAATACATACTTCGATCTAGACAAGAATTAAAGAGTTAACAATTGAATTCGGATATTTGTACAAAAAAAAAACTAGAGATTAGTTTTCAAAAAAAAAAGAACTCATACAGTGTTTAACTGTTTTTTGATAATTATACATTGATAATAGTATTTTTTTTAAAATCTTAAAATAAACGCAGTAAATATGATGGGTGTTAACTGTAGCATATGGACCCAGATTTTTCTTCATAAATGTGGTCACAGTAACTTCAATAACTATTTTTCTTTATTTAGGAGAAAAGAGTTTGCTTTCCACATATATATGTGAATGGTAATGTGAGTGTATGTTATATGCCGCCTCATATCTAACTTTCCACCACTCTACTATCAAAATATTTGTTACTTTCTTATCTTTTTATCGTTAAACAAAAAAAGTAATCAAACATCAAACTCCTAAAATCCTTTATTCTTGACTGTTTAAAAAAAAACATATTTTACTTTGAAAACTATGTGAGGCGTGCGGTCAAGGCAGTTGACCTGATTCCTTATTACGTTGTACAAACAAGCATGTTAAATTGGGGGTGTTAAATGATTTTTTTTATTATAAATTGTATTGTGTCAATTAAAACCCCACATTTTGAAATTATAAATCTCTTAAATTAGAACTTTTTATTTGTTTTGTGTATTATTTGATTGTTTTTGAACTTTTTAAAAATTTATTAAAAACCACTTAACAACTACGCTCATACTTTATCTATAATTATAAACATAATTTTGTTTAATGAAATCTATTAGTTATAGTTGTTATGTCATTATATTGTCCAACGATGCTCATCACCAAAAGTAATAAATGATTTCAACGGGAAGACTGATGATGGGCCGACATGTAGTTACGTTTCTTAAATGGTGAGAGAGGTGATCTATATTTATTATTCTCAAAAATATGTATTTGCTAAATAGGATTTTTCATCTTATATTTTAATTGTAATCAATGGGTAGGTAGGTAGATGTAGAAAGTGTAAATACGATTGTCAACAACATGGATCTCTACGTTTATAAGTCTATATATATAGTAACCTCGACTCCAAAGGCTTTACGTGACTCAACAAAATTAATTTGCGTTTTCCTCTTAAGTTGGAAATTGGTTGAATACATCTTATTTCAACTATGGAATCCAACTGTCTTCAATTTCTTGAGAACAAGACTATTTTCATCACTGGTGCTCCTGGCTTTCTTGCCAAAGGTACGTTCTTTCTACACTTTTTCTTCGGTTAAAAGGTTAAATAGCATATTATGTTCAAACATGGTCGTGTATTTAGATCTTTTTTTGGGTCTAAGTGTATTTAGATCATTTTTCGATTTGTGCATGTCATGAACCATATTCATATTTTTGTGGCGTTTTTCTATAGTTTTGTTGGTTCACATCTAGTCTTGTTTTTATAAAGATCTTGTTGATTAATAACGTAATGAAAAATTAGCAATCTATTATATGTTTTTTTTGGGTTAAAAAAACAGCAATCTATTATAAGTTTCATATTATTTTTGTAGTTATCATAGATTCTGTGTGGAAATTGTTCTGAGCATCAATATAATATTCTTATTGTAAATAGGTGTAAACATTTTATTGATCTTATAACCATAATATATTTTATACAAAAATATAAAGCCAAAAGATATTTTTGTTGGTCGGTAATTATGAATTTTTCGTTTAAACTGATACTCCTATATGAGAACAATAAGTTTTGGAAAATATACTGATGAATTTTGGATATATTATCATTCATTTCATTTATTGTCACACGATAGATTTTTGTGGCCCATGTTCATATATCTTCAATAAGTTCTATATAGATTTAATCTATAAAAACCTAGTATTATTATATTATAGTATTTGTTGCGATGGTGAGATATGCTTCATAAATTTTATAGCTCAATTTTTGTAAAATATTTTATATGTTTGCACTCAATCTAGTATCACCATAGAATATAATTATACTCCTTATGTTTCATTTAGAATTTTTACGCGCGAGCACACACACATAATATTTTTTTTGTTGTCACGATAGATATACATACATATATAAATCAAGAAACATTTAATACTTAAATTAAGTTTCAAAAAAAAAAACATTTAATACTTAAATTTCTTATAATCATTTATATTGTCCAATAGTTGTACATGCCCTCTTTTTCCATACTAAACCCATCTCCATAATTGTGAACAGTAATTCAATATATTAAAAGTCCTCCACCAATAATATAAAAAAATTCGCATTTTATTGAGCTTAGCTATTATAGAGCTAGCACATAGGAAAACAATGAAATTAATCTTCGTGAAAAAAAAACTAAAAAATCAACTTTTCATGAAACGGAATAAAATATATAAATACTCTTGGAAAAGCAGAATTTTCCAACCATTCTTTTTTTTTTTTTGGGTCAAAACACAATTTATATTGAAATTAAACCGGGTGTAAACCGGAATTAAAGGTTGGTACAGATACTAACGCCGATTTTGCTAACATATCGGCTTCGGAATTTTGATCTTTTTTAACAAAAGTAAAGGAGAGAACTTGTAGATCTAGGGATAGCGATTGAATGTCTTGGAGTATTCCATGGATTTCGATGTTCCTCCCCTTCTTGTTTATGAGATTGATGAGCGTTTGAGAGTCGGAGAGCATCTGGAACCGATTCAGCTTCCGATTTTTAGCCTGCAAAAGAGCTTCTCGGACGATTGCTTCATATGTAGTATATATACACTACAAGATTTGTTAATGAAAATATTTGTCGCGTCTTTTTTTTTTTTAAATAGTTTTGGTTGAGAAAATTCTGAGGTTGCAACCAAATGTGAAGAAAATGTACCTTCTGTTGAGAGCTTCCGACGATAAATCAGCCATGCAGCGCCTACGTAGTGAGGTATGGTATAAATCAAATCTTATAACCAAAACACTTATTTACATAAATCTAGAGGTGATCCATTAATTTACTCAATGATATCGACACTATATTTGCTTTATTACAATGATACAATAGGTATTTGAGATAGACCTTTTCAAGGTGTTGAGGAAAGATCTAGGTGAAGAAAATCTGAATGGTTTGGTACGTGAAAAGATCACGCCGGTTCCGGGGGATATATCGGTCGAAAATATGGGAGTAAAGGACTTTGATCTCTTACAACGTATGTGGAGTGAGATTGATATCATTATCAATATCGCAGCCACGACGAATTTCGATGAAAGGTGGAAATTTTTTATAATATTTGTTTTCCTTTATATAATGTTTAATCTTTGCGTTTTATAACTTCTGATTCTTAACGAAGATACTAAAATTTAACTTTATATCCGTTTTTTTTTGTTTCTTAATAAAAATCATAGATATGATATTGGTCTTTGCATCAATACATTTGGAGTTCTCAATGTTCTCAACTTTGCCAAAAAGTGTGTTAAACGGCAATTGCTTCTCCATGTCTCAACTGGTGAGTTCTAATGTTCCTCTCACAAAACCGACAATATATCTACCGAGGCTTACCTACTTTTGCATTTTTTTTATAGCATATGTTTGCGGAGAAAAATCGGGATTATTACTAGAGAAACCATTCAAGATGGGGGAGACTCTCAGCGAAAATAAGCAAGTACTAGATATCAATGCAGAACTCGAACTGATGAAACAGAAATTGAAGGAGCTCGAACATCAAGATTGTTCTGAAGAAGAGATCTCACAGTCAATGAAAGATCTTGGAATGACAAGGTTTGTGGCCTAGTCACACCGTATATTTTCCCAAAATATATTTAATTTGATCACTAAACCATCGTCGGTTAATTCTTTTGAATCAATATAGGGCAAAACTTCATGGATGGCCAAATACATATGTATTTACCAAAGCAATGGGGGAGATGCTAATGGGGAACTATAGAGAAAATTTGCCACTTGTTATCATACGTCCAACAATGATTACTAGTACTCTTGCTGAACCATTTCCCGGTTGGATCGAAGGATTGAGGTGAGTATCGGTTTATATCCTAATTGTTTACAGATTGTGTTATCGTCTTATCAATCGAATGAATATACCACATGTATAAGTTATATGTAATGTGTTAACTCAAGATTCATTTTCACCTTTTTTTAATTGTATTCGCAGAACTATAGATAGTGTGATTTTTGCATATGGTAAAGGACGGCTTAAATGTTTTCTTGCGGATTCAAACTCAGTCTTTGACCTTGTAAGTCATATATAAGTTTACACCTAAATCAATTTATATCATATTAAATAACACATTTCTTGTGTAGATTGATTAAATACAATTTATTGATGGGGAAAATATATATAACATTTTCAGATACCGGCAGACATGGTGGTGAACGCGATGATTGCAGCCGCGACAGCTCATTCGGGAGATACCGGGATTCAGGCAATATACCATGTCGGTTCTTCTTGTCAGAATCCGGTCACGTTTGGACAACTTCACGATATCAATGCTCGTTACTTCACTAAAAGACCTTTGGTTGGTCGCAATGGTTCACCAATCATAGTATCTAAAGGAACCATTTTGTCCACTATGGCTCAATTCAGCCTCTACATGACCCTTCGTTATAAGCTACCTCTACAGGTATTTTACCTCAACTCTACAATTGATATCAACATATGGTTGGTGAAAGATAGTAAAAATTGAAGGAGTAAAAAAAAGTTCCCACCATTGTTTCTCATTTATTTATGTTTTTTTTTCCATTTCAGATACTTCGGTTGATTAATATAATTTACCCATGGAGTAATTACGGAGATAATTACAATGACCTCAGCCGCAAGATCAAGCTAGCTATGCGACTAGTTGAGCTTTACCAGCCTTACTTACTCTTCAAGGGCATGTATGTATTATCACTCATATAACTTTCACCAAAATTATGATTAAGAGACTAATAGCTAGAGAACAAACATTCATTATTAACTACTACACATGGGTCCTTATCTAATCTTTATGTCACTATCACAGCTTAATTGAGTCCTGACATGATATATATTCGTGTTTTGTGCAGATTTGACGATTTAAATACCGAAAGGTTGCGAATGAGAAGAAAGGAGAACATCAAAGAGTTAGGTGGATCGTTCGAGTTCGATCCCAAGTCCATTGATTGGGACGATTATATGTCAAACACACACATTCCTGGCCTCATCACTTATGTGCTTAAACAATAAATTTGAAGTAATGTAAACTCGTATTGGAACTATTGTATTGACGTTGTTTCTTGTGTGTAATATCATTATAAATATCATCACGTTTTAAATAAATAAGATTAATTTTCAAAAAAAAAAGATTATGCCATCATAGTTAAATTCTATGTTTCTCAAAAGAAAAAA